CTATATGATTTTTTTCTAAGCAATAGAGATATTTAACTAGATATAGCCATTTTATAACAAACCAAATTTTGTAAAGGGAAGAAAGACAGTAGAAATACAGTAACAATTTCAGAGGCACCAGATTCTGCAGACTCCTATCTCTATCCTTCCCACACCCAAGATCCTTTCCATATTCCTCTGGACCAAAGTCCTAAGGGATATAAATAGTGACAATATCACCTGTGATGTTTTTCTTTTTCTTTTTGAGACAGGGTCTCATTTTGTAGTCCAGCCTGGCTATCAACTCATGGCAAACCTGCTCTCAGCTTCCCAAGTGGTGGGATTACAAAAGTATTCACCGCCATACCTGGCTCTCTTCTCTGTAATTTAGAATAGATACTGAAGTTAAAATATTTATATGGGGGAAAAAACCCTCAAATGACCCTGAACCACCTATTTGACTTTTAGGGATTAGCAATTTTGACCGGTTTATGCCAAATTACCTGGCTTTGGGAATTTGAGAAATGATTCTGAGATCTGCAAAGTCTTAAAGATCCAATGTGTATTAAGAGCATTTCACTCTTATTTGAAAAAATATGATCTAATTTTCTTCAAAAGAACCCAGAATCCTTTGGGGGAGATTCAAGCCTTCTAGGCTATCTCTAGGGGATTCTAGAATTACTAGACTCCAAGGCACAGTACAGTTATACTTTTTGCTAGACTCCTGGACTGTACTATTTTATATGAAAGACTGATTTCCACAGTAGGTGCCTTGCAGAAGCTTGTGTTTTGAGACAGAGTCTCTCTTTTTTAGCCCAGGCTGGTCTTGGACTCCCAGCAATCCTACTGCGTCAGCCCCCTAAGTGCTATGGGCATGTGCCACCACACCCAGCAGAAGCAGGTATTTGTGAAGCTTCCCCCTACAGCTCCAGAATGTCTGCTCCTAAGATTCAATCAGTTCATCTACAGCCAGATACATAAAGCTGTTAATACAGTCTTCAATTACACCTTAAAATATTAATATAGCAGGAGGAACGGGTGGTATAGCTCAGTGCTAAGAGCACATGCTTAGGCCCTGAGTTTGGTCACCAGCACCAAAAAAAAAAAAAAAAAAAAAGAGTGAGGGTCGGCAACTGTGGATTTATACCATATCTCTACAAATACATTTGCAAATAGACATACAAATTTTAAATAAGCAATTGGATCCTAGCTCTCTTAACATAA